GAAAATTTTTATCAAAGCATAATGTTGAGTAATCATCAAAGCATATCACAATAATCTGTCCTAAGACACATTCAAAAACTCACAGCTAAAAGATTTAAAGATCCATGAATCTGAATTCCAAAAAATAAATTAACATAAATTCAAGACCAGGAAATCACAATTGCATTATCTAGTAATTTTCTCTTTTATCAACAGTTTTTGGTGTTAACTTCAGATCAAACCATAAGACTAGTAGTGAAACCAAATGAGAAAGACGCTTTGATTTTGATCTATAAAAATTGTCATCAGTATCATCAAGAAACAGTACTACACGTGTTCTTGGAATCCTAAACTGAATGAATAAATAAAACGCATTCTTAGGGTACCAAAAAAGGTTGGCGAATATCATTCTTGATAGCAGCGTGCATCGATGTCACAGCTGTAATCACATTCATTCTTTTCGCCAAAGGTGAATTACAGCATTGGGCTAAAGAAAAAGAACCACCACAGAGCATGGGAGACATCGTTAGACGTCTATGTTCGTTTATTTTAATCTCGATAAAAAACCAAATAGTACGATTTTTCTACCTTTGGCTTGACTACTTCTACACCACAAGAAAAGATTCCTCCCAACAAAATAACTTTACACCAGTTACTAAAAACTTGTAACTCTAGACAAACATATTTCTAGCTCGATTTTAGTGCTGAATAAACAATTACAGCATACATTATGCGACGAGTATCAACTAGCAGACGATCTCAATCAAGTGTGAAACATAAACGACTGCGTGAAGAGAATGAAGCCGAAATAGGAAGTAACAACTCTGCAAAAATAAGGGCAGAAGAAGAGAAGTCAGAGTCTATACAGGTAAAACTGTTAATTTTTTTAATGGAAACATATTACCTAGGAATTACTGTATGACCACAAAACAACAAAATCCCAAGCATGACCAAAAACTTCCAGTCAATTACTTTAGGAAGATGCGAGTAATTAATTACTATACAAAAGAAGCCAGAATGTACAACAGTTGGTCTTCTCGACGACCGAAACACGATGAGATTAATGGAGATCGTTGTTTCGTGATGAATGTGCCTTACAGTTATGCAACTTCTGCAAAACGTTAAAACCCCAAATGTTATAGAAATTTAATGCAGTGTAAACAATCTTTCATAACAAAATAAGAACAAAAAACAACATAAAAATTACAATAAATCAACAAGAAGAAAACAAAAAAAAACTTTTTTTGAATAACCCACAACTAGAAACAAAAAGGAGATCATCCATGAAAAAGTTATCAAAAATTTGTGTAGTTAAAAACATCTTGTTGTTTTGCCAGTTCCAAAAGCATAGGATCATCAAAGAATTTGTTCACTGAAACATCCTCGCTAAGGCCTTTTCGACGTCTGGTCTTTATCATGAATTCTCGTGCTAAATGTGGTGCTGGCTGAAGTTCTAATGGCCGTATTACAATGCTTTTATCCAAAGGATCTCCTGGTACTATCTGCAAAATTAAATAAAGCTGAAGCTTTCAAGACATTTTTGCAGTTCCGAAAGATTATATATTGAGAAATCACATTCGATAACTCTCTTTTATAAGAGATCAGAAAAAATCATACGCACCTGCCAATGACTGAAAACTGCCAAACAAAATGCCTGTCCTTGAGTATGAGTCCTTAAATCGGTCTCGAAACCAAATGAATCAATAACAGGTATATATGCTTTGATTGTATAAAGTGGAGATCCAGGAATAGGTGCGTCAGTTGTTACGTGACCACGACGTTTCGCTAATACTGTGTACACTGAACTTACACAATCTGCTGGGGCTGTCACTTCCACAAAATAATACGGCTCCATTAAACGGGGTGTAGCCATCTTAATATCCTTATGATTATACAAAAGCAGTCTTAAGTTTATAATACCTGTGAGTCTAAGAATTTTATGTGGTGTTTTCGGAAAAACTCAAATCCGACTTCTCTATTTTGAAATAAAGTTACAATTTTTCTGTTTTATTTTTATTTAGAACTCAGTAAATTAAAAGCAGCAATTAAATAAAAGTCAGCACCAAAGAACTACCAAGAATGCGGAGTATGCGCATCTTCGAGCTGTTGGAATAATTTGGCCACCACCACGATAAAGAGGTTCATTTGCAATTACTGCATCCAGCATTTTAAATTTAACGTTACGAATAGCTGAAAATTGAGACGAAACATTTGGAAATGTCTTAAACTTTTCAAAAACTGATGTTTCTCGAAATTCATTTTTAAACAATTTTAAAAAACTAACGCTCTTCGCAAAGAGGCCCTTCACGTGTTGCCCACTGAAAGCCTTGGACAAGCGACTCACGAACAGTCCCAAGTAACTGCTTATCGACCTCAGAAGGTAAAGTGTCGTCAAGAAGTACGTTTGGTCCAGTAGTATCTGGACCAAAAGCCCATATACTTCGAGCTGCTAACAAATCCCAATCATATTTCGTCTGGAAGAATTCACCCAAACGTTTTCTGTTCCATCCTATTTGAACCACCTCATTTTCGATATCTTCTGCTAAGCCTTTTTCTAAGGGCTCGGCTACCATTGTTAACTTATTTCTAAAAAAAACCAAGCACAGAAAAAACTCAAGACCAAATCTGGAAACTACGACTGACTTGAACTTCGAAATTTGCACCAACTTTTTGTTTGGTGTTTCAGCAAAACATTTCAAAGATGATGTTTCAACAACAGTTTCACAGAAAGATACAACTGGATCGGCTACTTTGATATCAATTTCCGAGAACACCTAAACTCAAAATACTCTTATTGTGACACGAACAAATAAAAAACTTTTGCTCTTATTGTGACACGAACAAATAAAAAACTTTGTTTCTCTACTTTTGCTTGATATAAATATAAATACAGCTTATTAATATACATAAAACCCATAAAAACTTGGGTATTTGGACAATCAAAGAATAACAGATACGATATTTTGACCACATTTAATTCTGTGTAAAACTATATAAAATCCAGACTTTTCGCATGTCATGCATGACACAATCCAAATAAAGTTCGCCGGTTCCCAGCATTACGTGCTCTCCAGACTCTTCCACACGAGTTGTCAGTAATGGATAAGACTTGTTGACCTATAGACAAATATTTTTAACTTTATAAAAAACTAAAACGATAAAAATGGTACGTATTCCAGAAAAGTATCTACGCTGTCCACAAATTATAAATAGTTAATGTTTTACACGAAGATTAAATAGAATTATTAAGCGAGAAAAGCATACTTTTCGCAAGCTATCAAGCATTTTAGGCAGCTCTGAAGGATTGATTGGTTCAACGGCGAGCTTGACAACCGACTTCGTGTTGAATTTTAGAGGACGAAAAATATACACCTTTAATAACATGCAAGCATAACTATAAATTGCATTTGAGACCTATGACCATTATGAAAAAGAAGCTAAAGATATCTCACATCTTCATCGTAATCAATCTGCATTATTGTTGAAGTCTTCACAACTGGCTGGTCAATACCTTCAATGAGCACCCAATTTCCAGCCGGAACACGAGATATTTCAATTGAATATCTGCAAAAAAAGACATAAATTTGTCTTTGTTCCGAGATAATTGAATAAAACTTTGAATGAGATACAAAAAAAAATAAAAATAAAAGATTAAAAAAAAACAGGCAAACCTTGCAACACTAACCCATAAACGACCGACTGTCATGACTCTACAATCTTCCTCATCTTGAATGCTATAATTCTCTCCCAGAATCCGAACCTGAAAGAACACACTATAACTTTCAAAGCCATGTTTTAAAAACGCACACTTTGCAAATAGATAGTTTTGAAAACTGCAGCAATTTAAATCGAAGAAATATACATCTTGCCCAGCATGTA